GCGGCGCGCGCGCCGGGATTTCATGTTTAAGGAATACACAATTCTATATTTTATATCTGTGGGAAGGGTTTTAAAGCGCCCGGTAGCCACACAACACTAACCGATTGTACAAACAGCTGAATGTAAACACTACTGCTAAATTAATCGCATGCCCATCACCTTTGTAGTCTCACTCAATTTATTGATCGCAGCAGTACGAACGCACCAGCACTTGGGACATGCTACAGCCTTTTAAGTCCCAACCGTTCACAACATCGTATTGCAGGCCGGACACTGTGCAAACTTTCTAAACTCCCGAACCTCCAGGCCTTGGTAATCTCACTGACCGATTGAGGACTTTTGAAGGAGCAAGCGCATCAAACAACTTTTTGCAGCTGAAACTTCTTCCTTTCAGTCACTCCGATGAACGTTGATCCATCAGTGTTAACCTTCATGAACTTACGTACGAACACCCAAAAAGGAAACTTAGCAAACTTCCAAACCTTTTGTGTTCAGGGTTTTGTACGGTGGGTTCATAGGGTGCCCAAATCACAAAGTTTCTCCATCGAAACTCCCTAGTAGGCATACTCCGCCTCTCCTGCACGTCACGAAGGCGAATGTTTTCCCCAGAAAACCACCTTCTAACACTCGAATTTGACTGGTCATATTTTCTGCAATTCAACCACCGAATTTCGACACATATTTTCTTCTTTAATATCACAGTTCCGATGAAGATGTGTATTTTATGTGTATTTTCTTATTGCATACAATTTAGTTATATTTTCGTTTCCTTTGGTGCCGATTCTAACAATGCTTTCCCAATTTTTTTATTTACCGTACATTTTTGACATTCAGTTGTCCCCTCCAGGCTACATAATATCAAGTGGACATATTACCATCCAGCCAACATCTATGTAGGATGGTTTGCACCTACACCACTACTACTACATGTCCTCGCTTCAGTATCCCTCTGATCACATCATGTCGTTTGATGATGTCGATTTTCGCGAAATTAGTTTCGCTTCCTAGGTATATGTTACTGCCACCCTTGAGTAAAAATTTTGAATGTTTCTAACCTCTGGAATACATTAATTGCACTAGGTATATTAGTGCAGTTTAGCCCACCACTTCTTTGTACCATTTCGTTGGAATGCGCAACCGATAAACTCACAGCACTTATTGCTAAAGCACATCTAATAAGCCAGTTTAGTGCCGATTTACCATATGTTTCAATGCTAAATTTCGACCTAAAATGAAGATGAAGCCTTCGTCAGGTAATCGGGTATCTAATTGGCCAGCTCCATTCTATAATCCATAGTGCGACAAATTCTGGTGAGCTATACCGATGAATATTTACAGTCCGTATTTGCTCAAATGATGCTGACTAAGTGAATCACAAATTTGTACAAACTTCCGTTGGTCACTACACAAGCTACTTATGCAAGTTCTTGTTGGATAGAAATAGCTGAATGATTCGGATAGCCACCACTTAATCAGTGTGAAAGCGCGTCACCTGGTCGAAAAACAACAACTCAAGTACCCCGAATGGGTCATGTCAGTTGTTTGCCAACCAACCCGTGAGTCACAAGAGAGACGTCCTCAGACTTACCTCAGGTGAGAAGGTTCAGACTGATCACAAAATGTAATCAGTTGAAGTGTTTTTGTAATCAGGGAAGGATAAATTGCTGGGGAAACAGATACATGCAACCGAAGACAAACATTTTCACCAGCTTTATTGAATCAAACACACCTATTGTAAACTTTCCTAAAAACCGGCAATGAGAGCAAAACAAAATTGTGCTCGGTCTATTGAGTAATTAGAGTCATAGGAGAATGAAATACTCCCAATAGTTTGGCCTAGTCAGGCTCCGCGTCGAAAGTAGTTAGATCGACTACTACTGAAGAATTAAAGAATTGTCCCTACCCTATAACATTCTAATAAGAGAACTTACAGCTAACAGCGTCTGTGCTTGGAATATTCGCTCCTGACAATTACGCTATGGGAGTGATGCATGTCGTATGAACTTTACTTGGCGCGTTTTGTTCAGACTTGGACTCGTTAGGTGAACGAAACTGTTATCTGATTGCTCATTCATGTTGGTGTTCGCGCCCTTCCCATGTACTTGGAAAAAAGTGATACTCAATCTGTCTCCCGATATACTATCTGTGACGAATACTAATCTGCATTTTTATCATTTAAATTTAGTGGCCCCTATAGTCGCCCATATGAATGGCTTGGGAGCTTTCAAACTGTGCCGTATGAATACCGCTTTCCCGAGTGGCCGAGCAAAGCTTGTTACGCATTTTTAACAGATACGATATTTTGTTGTTGCCTCTCTAACTCCGTCCATGTCCAAAACTCCTGCATGGCTGCTACTAAAATGCATGTTTATTGGGTATAAGGCTCAGAAATTATACAGCGTTCTCACCGAACCCCCTTCATTCATAAGCCCAGAAAATGCTGTCAGTTGTTTCTTTAGTTCCCACACATTCCCAAATATCCCTCCAATATTACATGACTAAACCATGCATATCACTGTCGAACTTCCTTTTATCTTGCCTCTTTGCATTGTTACGACTTACACTTCAACCTCTTCATTTACAAAGCACCTCTAATATGTTATAAAATGTCATCCGTCTCCTAACGTCTCGAAGCGCCCCTGTGTGGATCAGATTGCACGCTTGTTTGAAAACGGTATGTCAGAACGTGTTACCTTTTTCTTCTGGATACTTTCACTTCCGAATAACTTAAATGATGTTTCCGTCGTTTACCATTCATTCCACTTAGTTGTTTCTAAGAGGATCAGAACAACTACCACGGGTCTAAAATGTCACCGTCTCCTAACGTCTCGAAGCGCCCCTGTGTTTGAAAACGGTATGTCAGAACGTGTTACCTTTTTCTTATGGATACTTTCACTTCCGAATAACTTAAATGATGTTTCCGTCGTTTACCATTCATTCCACTTAGTTGTTTCTAAGAGGATCAGAACAACTACCACGGGTCCTCTTTGTCCAGACAAAAACCACATGTATCATGCAGAAGCTACTGAGGTCCATATATCATGGTCATATTTACGCTTCTTCATGCCTCTATGTATTCCTCCCTAACTGCCCTGCTTGTTCTGAATTATGACCTTGTATGGGTCTCAACGATAATTTTCATTACTCGTCCCTGAGCAAAACAGCAGATCTGTGTAAAAACCATTACTAACAGATGCTTGGATTCTTAAAGGTCATTAGCTTGGTGAGAAGGTTCATTTCCATTACTCTTGATCCGTTTTCGGAATTCACCAGATATGCAAATTGGTCTGTGGATCCGTGGTCTGAATGGTAGGATCCCAAAACCGTTAAACAAAAGACCATAGTTAGAATTTCTTTTTGCAAAACTGATGGGCTCCAGGAAGACTGAGGATGCTCGTGTGTTCAAGCTCTTGTGGCTCGACCAAATATTTGCTCAAATTATTCTCAAGTTGTTTTCCACAGTTGGAGAAAATTAGTCAGGCTTAACATGTATTGTCAATGCTATGTACCTAAAATTAAGCCAGTATTATAGATTCGTTTACTTTTCTTACCTGACAGTAAGATGCAATGCGATTTTCGATGATAAGATTTACCTAGTTTGTTTAACCATCAGTAGTGGTTTGATTATTTCCACCTCACTTTTCCATTCATTCCCCATAATTATCATGAAATCTCTGTCTGAAAGGTCCCTTCCAACCTGTCTGCATTATCCAGTGTAAATCTAACTGACTTGACCACAATTCAACGTCCGTCTGTCCAAACTAGTAGAACAAGCGACCACACAATCGTGTTGAGTTTTTCCACACCACGAGCAGGGAGTGCATAACTCATCTTAATCTGTTAGGTTTGATTGTTTGTATGTGGATGTCATATGACTCCATTTTGAATGTTGGTCATCAACTGGACCATGCGTGATGTAGTGTGCTGCGACCACAGTCAATGAATTCCAACTGGAGCTGTCAAAACAAGACAGAATTTACGACCCACCCGAGTGCACCGACTTGCTTGAACACTGGGAGGGCTAAATGCTGAGCAGATACAATGGATTAAACAATTACTCAGTGTCTGCCGCGCAGTCCAAAACTCAATTATTAGAATCCGGTGCACGTTTCCAGCCACACTAGCGGTCATCTATTTGGTCACGTGCCAGAAAGTCGAGCGCAAACATATTTTTGAGTGTTGTTGAAATTTTCTTCAATAAATGCTCTTAAATAGGCGTGCTAACTTACGCGCGGGGGTTGTCATGCTCGGGCGATGAACCAGTCTTTGTCAGTAGTTCTAGCGTTTAGGTATCACATGCTGCTCGGTTAACCTAATGATGTCGTTCTCTTACTCCTAAATGTATTTTCAATGTACTCAGTAAGGCTGTAAAATCTCCACACAATTTGACCGTACTTACAGTTTAATTGTTGGCGTCAATATGCATGGAATCCATGCTATTTTCATCCGTCCCATATGCACACGAGTGGTAAATGGTGTAGTCCAACACAAACAGCCCGGATCATACAGTGGTCTGACGGTTTCTGTGCCCTTGCAACCCATTGAGCTATACTGTAGGGTGTCTGCTGGACACTCACTGAGTCCCTCATAACAAGTGAGTCGGTGTTCGGATGTGTGACCAACACAACATCCCAGTCCTCCCGGTTCGTTGTTGGGACACGTGTGGCGACTGGTTCCTTAATGCACTGGCATTTCCAGCCGAACATTGCTGCCTTGTGGTCAGGGTTTGGAGCCAAAGCCTGTAGCTGGAAACTTTAATCACCTTCTGCATGGGTTTAGCACACTGGCAGTATTTCATCCTATGTATAACAATGATTCCTATAACTAAAAATGCTGTCATGTCACCGCCGTTTCGCGGTGTCATTAGCCAAGTAACCCTACTTTTTGTATATGGCATGGCGGGTTAGAAAAAAAGGTTACGACTGACGCCACTCTTCTTTCTTTTTTAGCACAGATTTCTTTTCTCTCTCCTCATTTCATTATTGGTATCCTCCTTTTAGGCCATCTATCACGACTGATGACCCTGTTCGTGCTGTTCGCCTTGACTACGACATCCTCAGGTATGCTTGCGTCGACAGTCTCAGGCAGCTTAAAGTCATCCGTTGTGCCTTAACTTCCTGTCGACCCAGCTGCTTTTAATGTTCGCACCCTCAGGCATGCAGCACAATGAACTAGTCTCACTCTCACATTGGGCTTGGTTGACAAGGATTCAAGTTCCAGACACAACATTTAGCTGACTTCACCACCGCTCGTAACTCGTTTTTGGCCACACAACTCTGGCTATCGCTATGGCAGGATGTGCAGAGATCGGCATCATTCTGTGTCACTGGGGGAAAGAACCATTGATTGGCCATATACTCGACGATAGTCACCTTTGTGCACTTCCTTTGGAAACGTACGCGAATGAGTCTCACATATGAGAGGCTGATTGTTTTCTGCTCGTCTTGTCTGCTTAAGCCGCTAGAGACAAGTTTTATGATGCTTTGATTGCCCTACTGACTGACTCCCATTCAAGATTCCCCTGTAGGGTTATCGCCACAGATACTTGAAACTTACCGAGCATTTTCCGACTTTTTGTATATGATTGAGTTGAACTAGCATTCGCATTGCTCCCGTTTAAAGTCCTTCTGACGGACGATTCTCAACTGGTGTGTAGTCTGGTTCACAGCACAGGAACTCATGGGGGTCGTTTTCGAGTCATCTGGAAAATTAATTCCTTAATCATGAACTTTTTCTTCCACTCAGACCACATGATTAGGTTTTGCTTAGTTTGTACAGATAGAGTAATGTCAACCCACTTATACTTCATGGCAGTGGTCCAAAGTTCATGTCTCGTGGATGAGGAATCCGAGTTCATCGCTTCCCCACCTTACCAGAATAGGTTAATCGGTGCAAAAGTATTACAGGTAATATAAGATCAGGGCATATATTTTACTCTAGTTTTATCTGTGCTATCCCGTTATCACGACGACCGATTCCACTTCCTTGGCACAAATCTGCTATGAGCAACCGGATCGTGATGACGGTGGTGATGTTCGGTTGATCGGAAACCGACGTAAACAGGGCAATACATTAAATTCAACAACCTTATCCCGCTGAAAAACAAACTGAATTTACTTCTATTTTTTGCTGAATAGACAAGAAAGATTCTGGCTAAGAGCAAACGTAAAGCTAAACTTCACTTGTTACCTAGAAAGCTGTCTGGAGGTAATTTTCAAAACAGAACCAACAGAACCCAACCGATCTATCTTTATCAGCTTTCCTTTCAAAAGAGATCCGGCCGCCAACTATCCGAATCTTCATCTACATTACATAGTTTCAGAAACCTTTCTGTTCGCTTCGCTTAAAGTGTGGTTCACAACTACTCATCTGATACCCCTACGTCTCAGTGGTAAGCTGCTGGTTCACGGTCAACGGTTGACAGTCTTCTGTTGTTGGGGAGCAGAATACGCAGGCTACACAGCAAGGCAGTTATGCCCTAATAAAGGAGCATTACCCACTTTGACCGAATTCCGCATCGTGGAAGTTGAGTACTAAAGCACTTGCCCCTCAGATGACTGATACGAGTCTTGTGATTAAATATGACACTACTTTCCAAACACTGTACCAAGCATCTACCTACCTACGGAGCACCGTTCAATGTCTTTCCACTACTGAGGCAGCTGCGATTTGTCCACACAACCTGAGTCTATACGTCCACAAATCGTTCGTAGGCGCGTTGAGTCTTTCATTGTTTGCTCATGTGGTAGTGCCAATCAATCCGATGTGGACGGTTTCCACACTTTTAACCTCAGACACCGCTTTATCCCTGCTTTGCTTGTACGGATAGGTTGATTTTAGTTTTCTAACCAGCACGAAATCACACTGTTCTTTGAGTACGGATGCTTCAATCATATCAGCTATCAAGTGATTGAGTGACACTCGTGCCGAGCACTTGCCAGGGTAGCTCAGCTTACTGAAATCTCCTTCGTTGCCAGGTGAGGTGGAGGAAATTCCCGCCTCTGTGGAAGCGTGCTCAGTAAATATCTCCAGAGTCTGGCTAAACTATAGTATTTCTGTAGCAAACGTGTCTTCTGCAGCTGTCTAACCCTTCGGACTGTCATATGTTTTCTGTAGTTTAGGGAGGGTCTGGAGAGAGTTTAATCTCTCTTTGAGGCAGTCTATCACCGCGGTTCGGTTGCGGCTCATTGGTCGCTTCGCTCGTTACAGTGCGTGCGCCTTATACAGAAATCCTATGGATGACATATGTTTCATTCCCTTGTCGGCAACCAGGAGAGCTTAGGTTGTTTGACTCCCTGCTAAGGCCGGATGCTTGGCTCATAGATGTCCTTCAAACAGTTATAAAATTCTTCTTTCTACTGCCGGGCAGCCAATTCTTTGGTCTGTCCAGTTGTTCTTGATATGATTGAATCGTTGAGCCAGGTTATTTTGAATATCCTTTTGCTGCTGTTGTTTAAACACTTTCTCCGAACCGTCAAACAGTGCTTTGTTTCCCCTAGTAACTGGTTATTTTATTTGTCGCATTTTGCCATTAACCAGTAGGAAAATCTCTGGAACGGTTACCCAATCTGGCTGACTACAGTCATCACCACCTCATGCTTCATGTTCTGCCATGCTTCTGCCATCTGACTGGGCGAACAATAGGCTATCAGTGCGGAGATCAGTTGCTGCTGGCATGTCACTCCAACCTTTGGATCCTCAAGATGTTCATTTACCAGTGTTAATATTACGAATTCACTGACGCAGTTGGTGTAGTATGGCTTACGAGGCCGAATATTAAGCTCTGATTAGACAAACTGATGATCTGGCTTCTTAAATCACTCGCATCTCGCCGGAAAGAACGCCGTAAACAAGTAAATGATGGCAAGAAATGAGGGCAATTAGTAGCAAGGTGCTACCGTTTGAGCCGGAATCCGCTGGTGATGAAGACTGGCACGTGAATAACTCAAAGTCTAAGAAGTCGGTCCTCGTTTGCTTTCACAGTCCATACACCATGTAGTCCGAAAGCGCTCCGCTATGGCGGGTGATCTCGACTGAGACGTGCACTGAATTCTACCAGGAAGAAAATCTCACCGGTTTTTGGAATAGATAGAAGCACGGCATATTCCTCAATGCAGAACGTACCTAAGTGATCCCCTATCAAGTACACCGTTAATGGGAATGCACTTATTGGTCACAAAGGTTCTTCCTCTCAAACTGTGGCGCAGTGAAGTAAGGCATGGATACGGGCTTTTGTGTCGAGTATTTTCTTGATACGGTGAGACAGAACAAAACAGTCCAAAGAAAGGTGGCTTCCACTGAGTTTTAGAGGTTAAACTACATTCTATCAAAATGCTGCCAGCGTATAAATGCAAACCAACTTTCTGGAGCTGAGAAAATTATGGGTGAATTTCTGTGCAGGGGGCATCTGAGAATGGCAAGGCGGAATGGCGTTTTTTAAACAGAAGCGCATTAAAAACAAGCTGAACGATGTGAAATATAGCTATAATACTGGCATCCGTATTTACAAACAAACATAACTCGTTATCAAATGGTGTGTCAGGAATACGCAACGAAACATTTAGGTTATTATAGAGTGAGCGCAAATCGCCGTGAAAAATAGCTTATGTATCTAGAAATTCGTAGCCAACAGGGAAGTGTGAATGCAGGAAGAAACTCTTGAAATCGAAATTTGATTCGAGAGGGTGACAGACAACAACTACAGTGCTAACGTTGGAGTGCGCAAACTATTCATTCATTCTAATGGAATGTCATCTTATTGGTGCTAAATGCATTTACTGAACTAGACATGACATTGTCTTTCGAATGGAACCACTTTACCTATTCAGCATGGTGAAAACCCTCTCTGAATCCAGATGTGATCAAGTGACTGCGTTGGTTCAACTCAATGGGTGCACAATTAGGAACCTCAGGGAACGCCACGAAATAAAATATCATGCCATATGGCTGGATGAAGAAGAAGCTACTTGCATAAGTATATTTGCAAAAAACAAAATTTATTCAGGGCTTATTAGACGATTAGCCTTAATTTTTTTAGTATACCACCATTTATTATCATGAATATCGTACATTGGACAGCTATAATAATAGGGTGTTTGTGACTGCAATTATATTTCCCGAACAGTCCATCAGGTTCAGATAGGAGGTTCGCTTTTCCGACAGTCGACACTAGTGTCTGTTAACAAACTAGTCTCGTTTAACTTAACATACCTCCGGGTGGGCGGTTTGTTACCATAGACATAATTTCTAGCTTCGTCTGTCATTCTCACGATGTAAAAGCTGAGCGCATGTCCTTTGATGGTCGTTGTTAGAGGTCAGTTACTTTCCTCTAAATTGAGCGTTGCTAAGCTACTGTCAGATATCGTACAGACCAAAACAACCTGTCAAGAACCTTTAACCAGTTGCACTGAATCATCCTGGACTCCAGCCTACGTACATGAACATTAGCTACGAAAAAGGCTGAAACACTGGTGCAGTCTGCTGGTGCTTAATCGCTTGACTGGGGCATGCTCCGTTTTACCCAATTCACAATCAATCGAAATCAGCAATAGCCCTACACACCCACTGGAGGCAAACCTTCAGCGGTCACAAGTCCAGCAGATGTAGTGTCTCAGACAGAGGACAGATGAAGCATGTACTAGATTTGTGGGCAGAAAATTACAAAAAATCTGTGTTAAGATTTTTCCTGGGAAAGACTATGCTTAACGAATAGGTGGGTCAAAACCAGTGATAAAAAAATCAAACTTGCATCTGAGATCGACAGAGCCTTCGAAGAGTCAAAATTTGAAGGATGGTCTTGATAAGACGGGGTTTTGGCGAAAAATTATCACAACCTGTGAAGTACAGGTTCGGGAAGGACGTAAAATCAATGAGACAGGAATAACCGTCACATTTGGAACTTAGTTTGAGAGATCGGAAAAGCAAGATTAATTCTTTTTATTTTAGTCCGGTAAGGCAGACAAGGCGATGTAGCCAACGCGGTAGGATGGACACAAGAGGAAAAATAACCCTAAGGCGTGGAGAAGGGAACGGAACATGGCTTACTTTGATCGAGAAATAC